ATGGGTGTATCTAGATACATCCCATATCGCTTGCGCAGCTGCGTTCTGGACCAACTGTAGTCTTCGAATACTCTTCAGGGGCAGCCCCATGTAGAGCATGTTACAGTAATCCAATCTTGACATGCAATGTCCTTAGTGATGTCCTGAGGGGAGGAGCTAAAACAGATTTTGTCCAGAATGTGAGCAGTCTGTGGATATTTTCTCAGCCCTCCTTCTGGCTCCTGCATATATACAAGTCCTCAGTGGAAGGCAGGCTGGTTACAGTTGTTTTTTCTTTGGTTGGTTTTGTTTTTACAGACCTATCTACTCTATAAAATCTGTAGCTGTCCTTCTTGGTTACTGTGCCAAACCAGACAGTTTGTGATTTATGAAATGGTGTGTTCCTTTGGTTTCCTTAGGGAAACAAGTAGTAATTCTTGAACAGCAATTATAGTAAAAAAAGAAGGCTTTATAATTATTTGACCTGTTGTTGGATGAACCCTCATTAACTCCAATATTTTGAAATTATTCTGTTCTTTAAGGCGCTTTTCATGTCACACTATTGTAAAGAAAGAAAACATCTGCTTTCTGTAAGGCTGAATTGCTGTGATTGTGAGCTAACTGCTGCAACACAGGCTGGGGGGAAAAATAGAGTCTGCTAGCATCGACTATATATTTGAAAAATGTATAGCCAAACTTTATTTGTGGTACTTGTAACTTTAAGAACATACAATGGAAATATAGTTGCTTTTAAAACTATGTATTAGGTTAAATCATGTACAACCCTTTTTACATTCAAGAAAGCTACACACACCCCAGACTCAAAATGAACAGTGATTAGTATGTTTGTGTGTGTGTGCGTGCGCACACAAACATCTATAGCATATGTATATGTAGGAGTGGTGCGGTGGCCTAGAGGTGGAGCTCTCACCTCACAATCAGGAGGCTGTGGGTTCGATCCTAGGTAGAAGCAGGTATTTCTCTCTCTGGGCACAATGAGAATATAACTGCTGGACAAAACTCTGCATTGTCACAGGAAGAGTGATGATAATATCTATATGGATATGGGTATCGACGAGTATAGGTATGGGTATGGGTATGGGTATGGGTATGGGTCGGTATATCTATCTACCTCTATCTATCTGTCTATCTGTCTGTCTATCGATCGATCGATCGATCGATCGATCGATCGACCGACCGACCGACCGACCGACCTACCTACCTACCTACCTACCTACCTACCTACCTACCTACCTACCTACCTACCTACCTACCT